TCTAGAAAGTGTGAGGCTAGAAAGTGTGAGTTCAAGTCTGCCTTAGCCATTAAAAGCCAGCTAGGTGACTTTGAGCCATGTCTCTCTCTCTCTCTCATTCTCTCACCCCCGACCACCTCACAGGGTTGTTGTGGGCAAATAGAAGGAAGAAGATGGAAGAAGATGTTGGATATATTCACCAACTTGGGTTGTTTGTAAAAATAGTAAAGGTGGGATACAAATAAATAAAAATAAATAAATATAGCTGATTCTGAGATTTTATAAATATCTGAAACAGCAAAGCCTGCTTCACTAACCAGGTTCCTGATTGAGGGTAGTAGCTTGGATGTGAAGGAGGAAATACAGTGGTGATGGAATGGTTAAGAATTTTATTTTTAATTTGTTTGTCAAATCAAGCTTTCTCCCCCTACAATCCCCCTACAGTTGTCCTCCAACAATTCTAGCCCCTATATATGCTACCATTACAGATTTGAGGATGGAAAGATCATTTTTGCGAATAGACACGTTATTCTGATGCTCCTGCAAGATATAGAATTTTACAAGCATTTTAAAGATTCTGAAGGCAGACCCAGTGGAAAGATTGCAATAATCCATTATTGACTTAACCATGATTTGTTAATTGAGGCACACAGAGCTGAGTTCCCAGAACATGTTGTCTACCATATTATACAATCCACAAATCACACTTCACACTACACTAAAAGCAAACAAACCACACTTTGTCTTAGCATAATGTGTGAATACAGTCTGTAAATAACTTTGAGAGCCAGCACTACTAACAGAACAGCTCAAAATAGCAATGTCTTGAGAATGTTGTTGGCAGCTAATTTCACTTTGTCTTTCAGAATATTAGAAGAGATATTTCTGATCTTTGTTCATTCAGAGCAGCTCTTGTTAAGAGCTACCATTTTTGCAATGAAGAATTCCAATGGCAAATCCTTTACAAAATGCCCAATTTATAATTCATCTTTATAGTATGTATACAATTCGTTAGTCAGAGGATGAGCTGTAAGGAAGCTACTGAATCGTATATTTACAATCTGTAATCCAGCCAGGCCTAGTTCTGTAACGTTAGGAACTTCCTGCTATGAAATAATATGTCCTTGATTTCCTGCAAATATTGGCTCTTTCCCAAAAAGCAAACACAGTTGCCTGTACCTGTTCAGTTTTCTCAGTTGCTTCATTGTTTAAAGACACATAACCAGCTGACCAGATTATCACTGGTTAGAGAATTAGTGCGGATTGAAATAACATACTGGAGCAGGAGACTACTTTTCACTTAGTTAGCAAGATGGCTTCATTGTAGAGTAGACAATTAGGATGAAGGTGCTTGAATTATTCCAGTAGGATTTCTTCACATACTTAAGGTCTTGGCATCTTCATTCCCTGTGAGATTTGGCAAATTTTATTTCTCTCGATGCTGCTTGTATAATACTGCATAATTAATTTAAACTTGTAGCAGTAATTCTTTAAACTAACAGAACAAAGTACTTTTTCATTAAAATATGAGACATCAAGCCTGCAATTTTTATGTAGAACAAAGATGGAGGTGTGATTTCCTCTAAATATGGTTAGAACCCCATCCTCGCCCAGCAAATCATCAAGTGTGATGGAGGCAGAAACCAACAAAGTCAGGAGAATCACAAATAACAACCTCCCAGTGGTGGGATTCAAATTGTTTTACTACCGGTTCTGTGGGTGTGGCTTGGTGGGTGTGGCAGAGGAAGGATACTGTAAAACAGAGGTCTCATTCTTGCGGCCCGCAGGCCAATTGCAGCCCGCAGGACGATATCCTGTGGCCCCCACCATGATATGAAAGTATAATATTAGTGTATAATATAAATATAAAGTATAATATTATAAAGTACAATATTATGTGGCCCAGCCTCACCCAGACTCTGCCTCCAGCGGCCCCCAGGTAAATTGTGTTTGAGACCCCTGCTGTAAAATCTCTAGTCAGAGGTGGTATTTGCCGGTTCTCCAAACTACTCAAAATTTCCACTACTGGTTCTCCAGAACTGGTCAGAACCTGCTGAATACCACATCTGCTCCCCGCCACCCAAATTGTTGCAATAAGAAAACATTTCTATAGAGTCATACTGAGCCAAAATACAGTTACACCTATCATGCCAGTGGATAAAGTTCATACAGATAGTTTATACATCTACCTGCCCCTAACTCTGCCCCCAAAACTTCTGCTGCCATATTTTTTCTGCCTTGGTCCCTCCTGAAACTTCATCTCATTCCGGCCAATGAGTGACTTTGGGGAGAAGAAACTCAACAAGTCGCTTTGCTCAACCTGTGTTGCTCACCCATAATCAGGACATTCATGTCAGCAGTGCAAGATATGACTCTACAGGAAGTAGAACAGAACTATACTTTGCTAAGAAGTCTGCTGGGTTTTTCCCATCCCTCCCTTTTACTTATACCCTTTGGGAAATTATAGGGAAGCCAGACTGAATGTTTTTCTAGCACTTTCCTTTCTTCCCAATGTTGCTTTGGTACTTGTTGCTGTCATCTTGCCTTCTGGATGCAGAATTACAGAGTAACAGAGTTGTGAGGAACCTTGGAGGTCTTCTAGTTCAACCCCCTGCTTAGGCAGCAGATCCTATACCATTCCAGACAAGTGTTTGTCCTGTCTCTTCTTAAAAATCTCCAGTATTGGAGCACCCACAACTTCTGAAGGCAAACCGTTCCACTGATTAATTGTTCATCCACTGAATCCAAACTCTACTAAATTGAGTTTCTGCTGTGTAGCTAAACCACTATACAACATTCACTGTATATCATTATACCTTCCTATTATTGCAGACCATTCTTCTTTTCACTTATTCATTTGTTGCTTTTGATCTTTAAACTCCCCGCCTTTTTTTTTCAGGATCTCATCCATGCCATCTAACTATGTTTTGGGAAGGCCTCTTCTTCCTCTTAGCCCATTCATTCTTCATATATTTGTTTTATAAGTTGATTCATTCACTCTCTTTGTGTGATCAAATCATTTCAACGTACGGTACTAGTTTTCATACCGATCGCTAACTTTTACTTAATACATATTATTTCACACCTAATCATTCTTGCATCTGTCTCTTCTTATTTAAGTGCGCGTATTTCATGTGTATCCAATAGTGTCTCTTTAAATAAACAATACAAAAAAGTTCTTAGCTTCATACATTTCTCTTTCTCTTTTTGCGGAACAGCAAAAACCACTTGTACCAGATTTGCTCACTGTTATTTCTTGTTCCCTTTCTTTCAGGATTTTGTCAAACATCTTTTCCGAAACATTTAATAAACTAATCAATTTCCCTGCAGTTTTGACATTCACTCTCAATAGATAATAATGGCATTCTTTCAATCATTAGCCATTCTTTCAATCATGGATGCATTCTTTAGATCATGTCAGACAATCATTCCGTAAAGGCAATTACTTTTATATTTTAAATTTTTCCAGTGTTACCATGAGCACCTGTAGCCTTACCACTTTTTCAACTTTCTTACAAACATTTTTGATTTCATTATTATTTTTTAATTAGATACTAACATTCAAATTTTGATCACATGAGCTTGGGGATGCTGCAACAGTCAAAGGTGTGAAAAATGGTCATAACATAAGTCACTTCCTTCAGTGCTGTTGTAACTTCAGACTGTCACTAATCAAATGGTTGTAAGTCAAGGACTACCTGTATGGTAAAAAATAATACAGTACTTGGATTCAGTGACCAGTTGAAGAACACTTGTCTTTTTTTCTTCCAGGTCCATCCAAAGCCAAGATGGTAGACAATGGTTAAATTTATGCTCATAGAGAAACAAGGGACTTAGCAAGAAGTCAGATAAGGATCAGTGCTGCAATAATTTGGGGTGAATGCTCTTGAAATTAGAATAATTCATGGATTTATAAATATAGCTGTTTGAAGTTTGTAATCAATATAATGTATTCAGCTGGTATAGACTGTTTCTATATTGAATACTGGGGAGTTAAGCCAAGATAAGTTCTCTTGTATCTGCTGGAAATGGAATCTATAAATGCTGAAAACCAGGCATATGTCCCCCAGCAGACGTTAAGCTCCTATTTGCAAAGGAGCTATTAAACAGTCGTTAAAGCAGCTTTCTTCCCAATACCTGTTAAATTCTGTCTGGCAGCAATTACCCACAAAGAATTAGTGAGTGCTGGCCTCACCTTCTTCAGGCTTACTTCATTCTGCCTTTTCAGTACTCAGGTTCAGTGGGTTCTTGTCTTGAGGCCTCAACACTTTCTTTCAAAAACTGAAGGGACAAAAGAGACAATCACACTGAGAACAAAAGACAAGCTCTCCTTACATTCTGCTGGCTTTGACCTGAAAAACATAACTTTATGATGTGGAAGGAGTTGGCTTGTATAGTTTACTTAGCATTGCTCGAAGATGAGCAATGTTGGGTGTTCCGCGTTTGAAAAAGGAAAGTGGTAAACTTTGCAGTGTTTGTGTCTGGGCAGAGAAAGGTAATCTTTGACTTACGACCACAACTGAGCCCAACATTTCTGTTGCTCTAGCAAGACAGTTGTTAAGTGTATTTTGCCTCTTTTTATGACCTTTCTTGCTTCAGTTGTTGTTAACCACGGCAGTTGTTAAATTAGCAACACACTTATTAAGTGAATCTGGCTTCCCCATTGACTTGGCTTGTCAGAAGGTTGTAAAAGGGGATCTTATGACCCCAGGAGACCGCAACCATCATAAATATGAATCAGCTGCCAAGTGTCTGAATTTTGATCACATGACCATGGGGATGCTGCAACAATCATAAGTGTAAAAATGGTCATAAGTCACTTTTTTCAATACTGCAGTCAAGCTAACAAGACCTTTATAATTTGTGATAAATTATAATTTAACAAGATTCCTTGGTTTGTAATAAATGCAACAAACGTGGAAATGAATATAAAAATGTTTCTTGGCATCCATCTCAATAAAGCACCTTAACACAATGGCAGAGTGAAGCATTTCAATAAAATGTCTTTCTCTTTTTTTCAGAATAGATGTGTTCGATGAAGAGTGAATACAACAGAGAAGGGATTTACAACAACCATTTCCCACTTCCTTCTTCACCAAGGAGCAGGAGAATCTTTGTTGCTTCTTAAAGGATGAAACCTCAGACCCAAGAAATGGAAGCTGATGCTCCTTGTTGTAGTTATGAACAGAAAGCGTGATTCATGCATGGGCCTCTTTTGATGTACATTTTCATAACAAAGTGGAAACCTATAGTTAACTGTCTCTGGGAGATAATTTCATTGTTTCCAACAATGAAAAGCATAGTTTCTGTATAAGAAAACTTTGTGTGTCTGTGTTTCTGTGTGAGTGAGCATGAGTGTGTGTGCGCGCGTGTGTGGATGGGTGTACTGTATGAAAGGTGAGAAAAGTACATGTTCACTTTGTGGCTTGTATTTATAAGATACTACACTGGTGGATATAGATGGATATAACCATGTGGGACAAGTTAATGCTCAGAAACAATTCTCTCCAACATTCTGGTCTAAACTGCTCAGTTAATGTTTACAGTGGAATAGATAGGGTCTTCTCTAAGTATAGGTAGCTGCCTTTCAGTTAGGCAGATGATGTCTCTCTCTCTCTCTCTCTCTCTCTCTCTCTCTCTCTCTCTCATCTATCTATCTACCTACCTACCTACCTACCTACCTACCTACCAATCTATCCTCTCAGTAGTAATTGAGAGCACACATCACAGGAAGCCATAACAAGGTTGAATATGTTGTGCAAATTCAGGTTTTTGAGTTTATGGAGCTTAGTGCAATGCTTGAACTGGAAAAGGCTTGTTTTTTTTTAAAAAAAATACCCATAATATAGCCATGAGGCACGAACCCTGCCAATACTGTCTTCAGCAACTCTAGGATTTCAGACAAGAAGCTTTGTGGCAATGCCATGGGCCTACAGCCCAATTGCTTGACCCAGAACCCTTCCTCCCCTTCCATCATTTCAGAGTCCTAAAAAAAAGCCACCCCAAATTGTTCAGGATTGTCTCAGATTAGAAAGCATGTCACCCCAGAGCTGCAATTGGTAATCCAATCCCAGTTCTCATGCATGCAAAGTAAGACTTTTCTCTTATGTACTGTACTCAGTTTTAATGTGCCATGTTAGTAAACAGTACCCCCACACACTCCTCAAATAATGGAATGGTGCTCATTATTATAAAACAGCATTGCTCTTTTTTTTAATGGTGCAAGTAAGTTGCATGGACAGATGTCTGGGTTAAACAAGCCTGAGGGCATAGAGTTGTCTGGGGTAGTTAGAGTGTCTGTGAGAAGATGGTTTCTGACTGTGGTTTTCCAAGTCTGTTCCTCTGCCACCCGGGAATCGCTGGCTGTCATTTCTGTAACAGCCAGCAAGCGCAAACATGTCTTAACTCTGCTCTTTCAGAAAAACAGAGAAGGCGGCTTCTTTTCCCCCAAGTTGGCACTCATATATATAGCAAAACTGGCCATATCTGTCTGTCTATCTATCGATCTAGATAAAATAGATAGCAAAGTTGACGCTGAATAACCAAAGTTCCCTCAGTCAAAATCAAAATTATTATTTTTTCCCTGCTTTGGAAAATGTGGGGCAGCTCTTGCCATGAAAATAGAGGCTTGTCTGAAAATTCCTCATTCCTCCAACGGTAGCAGCCCTTTTGTCTAAGGCTGGCATGCACGGACTGGAAGTCAGGAACCCTTTTGTGCTTACACAAACACATCATTCTCCTGTGTGGGAAAAGGTCGGTCTGAGATTTCTCATTCTCCTGCTATATTCCCGAGGCTGTTTTAGGTTAGCAATGGGCAAATCAAAAAGGGATCTTTTTTAAAAGATGGTTTTCATTGCAGCTCCATACAATATAGTCTTTCTTTCTTTCTTTCTTTCTTTCTTTCTTTCTTTCTTTCTTTCT